AATATGTTTGATGTTAGTTCTTTAACCTGTGTTTCTATCTGTGCTGTGTCCAGCAGTCTTCCCGGTGCTGCCAGTTCCCCCAGGCTCTGGTGTAGTTTGTCCATGTACAGTTTACAATCGGTTTTTCGGGTATCCGTTACGGTTGTTGTTCTGTGATGGCTGTTTCTAAGCTGAATCTGAAGCCGAGAAAGATGCTTCTTCGGCCACGTGGCAGTTGTTGATAAGGTCCACTGCTCCTTCTGACGCCAGGGTTGGGTCTATAATAGTTCTACATCTTTTATTTATAAAAGTTGGTACTATACCTTTATTAAGGATTTGGAGGTTAGTTGTGAATAAGTATTCTGTTAGGTTCTTACCTCTATCATTTGCGAGTTCCATGCCCCACAACGGCTGGTGGGCATTAGAGGCAGTAGCCACGACGATATTCTGGCCGTTCTGCTCGCAGTAGTTGATCAGCTGTACCATTTCCTGCGGTGGTGGCACACCAGTCTCCGACATATAGACAAAGGCTAGCACCACTTCAGGCAGACCCATGACCGCGTCAGCTAAAAGCTTTACGGCACACAGGTCTCTGGAACAGAATTCAGTTAGTGGCTGTACATGTAAGTTATTAGAGTAATATATGCAAGTTCTAGTTTTATCTGAGATGGTAATCGATAATTGCTTACCTCTCAGATGTGAGAGTCCATTTATTTGGCCACGGGTACCAATAGACCACTAGTAAATACTTAATAGAATATAGTAACTTTTTGCCATTGTACTCAAATTTCAATAAATAATACGCATATTCAAATATAACGGAACTCATCCGAGAAGTCCTGGGACTTTTAGAAGGTCTATGTTATCTTTAGTTTAGTTAAATTAACTTTTAACCCTCAATTCCGATCACTGGTGATCACCTACTACTAATATAGTTATTTATTATAATTTGCCCTAAATACTTGGTATATCGCTCTCTTTAGTAAATAATTTGACTACTATTATATAAATGAGTATATCTAGTCTTTATTCATGCAATTTCAGCCAGTAGTCAAGAGTCAATAGATATACAGTCTTCTGCCGAAAATTGGGAGTACACATTGCATGATGTGGACCACGTCCAACAGCGGCACAACTGGGACTGCGGTGTCGCGTGTGTGATGATGCTGCTCTCTCCTCAGCAGCGGGAGGAATTCGAGGCAAATTTCTACAACATATGTGCGGAGGAAGGTTTCCATCAGTCCACTTGGACAGTCGACCTCTGCTATTTGCTGAAAAGGTTGTACAAATATGGTAGGGTACAGGTATCCTTTACAGTGAAGATATTGAGCAACAGTAATTTTGTATAAGTTTAGGACTTGTACAAATTACGTTTAGTAGAAAAATTTTAACATGCTAGTGTTACAAATTTTATTGAAGTACCTATATTGTTAGCCATTTTCTTGCTCTTGTAGAAACTTTGAAACTTTTGCTTTCATAAGTAGTATATACTAATGTAATGATTCCGTTGCAGGTTTGACATCAAACATACAATGTATTCGACAATGCTCGGTGTGAATGAGGAATACAAGAAGTACAGTTACTACGACAATATCTTTGATTTGGTATGTTCACTATTACATTATCCATAATATTGACTGCGATTTGCACATCACCTGCTTTTTTGAAACCTATGTCCTGTGTTATAATAATCAAAACTGTCACTAATGGCGGTAGAGTTTTCTGTAGAAACACTCTGGGTAGGCACCACTGCCCTATCTATGTCTACCACAACCGGAAAATGCTGCTGTGGTCCAGATTGAAAAGTGGAGAGAATCAGTGCATTCATAAGGATAAGGGAGTTGAGCTCAACGAGTGTGTTAATGTTTTACGTTTATCAACACATTTGAATATAATTGATTCTGTCAGTTTAGAAAATGCTTCGATGTTTATATAAGTACCCAACATTGGCACGAACCGTTGCGTTTCCACATTAACATGGCGTACGGCATTAGACAGGAGTTTCCTGCCTGTACATTTGTTCACTGGACACTAATTTAGTAGTAGAAGAGCGTCTTGTGCTTGGTGGCTTTCTGGCGCCTAGCAGTAATAGTACTGCGTTTCACTTTTGAAGGGTAAGGGTGCTAGTGGAATTGAAGGCACATGAGATTTGTCAACTTATGTCTCAGGGTGACAGAGAAGTGTATTCATATATTATAGATGTGCGTGAGTCGTTGTCGACCTCATCGTCACTTTCCATCAGTTGGGAAGGAGGAGGTGTTTGATATTTTACTACCCAGCAGGCCCACACCCTTACGAATTTGTCTCTTCCTGTTTCGACCACGGGGTGTTCGTCACGACTTAACCTGTAGCCCACAGCTTTGTAAGGCTGCACATCATGTAGTTATTACGCGCCTGTGGTTACTGATCGCACGTAGTGGATTCCGTGGTCGGTTCTGTTGATTAGCGTGCGTTGGTTAACGTAGAATTGAATGTAAAAATAGGAGCCTTTGTACCACCTTTGGTGAGTGTCGCATCCGCTCGATTTCCCTTCGGGTTTTTATCTGCTGTAAGGGTTTCCCCGCCGGTACCAACCACCGTTTTGTTTCAGTCATTCATGTTTCATCAATTTGCGCGTTTCAATGTTCCTATTAGCAGTTCTCGACAAAGAGTATTTTCGTCCTAGTGGGGTTCTCAACATCTCGGTGGTTTAATCGTCACGTCATCTGTGGGTGTGTTCCGTTTCGGGACATCAACATTTTCAATAGAGTACGGAGTCAGAGCCTCCGTAACCGACATCGTAGTTTTGACATACTATATCGAGATCTAAGGTTTTTGCGGTCGCCACACGTTGGCAATGAAATTTTTTTTCGGGTCCAAATCGCATCGCCGCGCCACGTCCGCGGGGACCGCGGGGCCCGTCGGTTCGCCCGAACGACGGACGCGGACGCGGCGTAGATCGGAAAACGGTCGGCCTCCAGCACGCCCCTCGCGGCCCGCAGGATCGCGAGCGCGTGGAGCGCCGCTTCGCCGAGGCGGGCTCGCGCGGCATCCGCGTGAGGCAGGGCGCCGTGTCGTCGGCGCGCCTGCTGCTGCACCTGCGGCGGCACGGGCCCGCCATCGCGCTGGTCGACGCCGGCTACCTGGCCTGCGACCTGTGCAAGCGGAACAAGATCAAGGCGGAGCTCAAGTGACCGTCTGCCCTCGAGCGACCGGCGGGCGCCGGGCGCGGAGGGCTGACCCGAGCTTCGCGCGCAGGAGGCAGTTCGGCGGCGGCTACGCGGGCCACTACGTGCTGGCGGTGGGCGTGCGCGGCTCGCGCGTGCTGTTCCGCGACCCGGCGCTGAGCGCGCGCCTGTGCGCGGCGTCGGCGCAGGCGCTGCAGCGCGCGCGCGCCGCGCCCGGCACCGACCTGGACGTCGTGCTGGTGCACCAAGGGCCCGGGCGCGAGCTGGCCGCGCTCAGGGCGCCGGCCACGGGCGGCGGCGGCCGGCAGGGGCGCCGCGGCGGCTGCGTCGTCCAGTGACTGGGTAGTGCCGTCGCTTCGGAAGCTAATTTCCCGGTTTAAATTAGTTAGTAAAACTGAATGTCGACACCCGGTTCTGGCCAACATGGGATGTGTACTAGTCACTATTTGTAAGTTTGCGTTGAAACTGACTCAAGACTGAACCTCCTAATTGAATTTAATAATTACAACCCGACTAGCGCACGAGCCGCTTAAATGACTTCCGTGTAACTCAAAAGTTGTGTATTGCTGTATAAGAGATTTACTAAAAAATTCTTCAGCAGCGTATTCAAAAGTAATTAAACAGACAAGTCGTACAATAGCCGTACAACGGCACAATAAATCCTAAGAGATAAAAAGACTGTAATATAGTCATAGATCTATTGTACATGTTGGCGTTTGATGTAAAGCAGAGTTCTAAATACCTTTTATAACACATTGAGGTCTTGTAGAGGGCTTTTGAAGTTAGAAATGTTAAAATGGAGTTATTGAAAATAATAAAATAAAAAGAAAACAAAATAAAATTTTTATTTATAATTTACACAACTTCATAAGTCCACAATTGTATTAGTAACTCTTAGACTACGTCAGTACTTAATAATTAACGATAACTTCATCCTTTGAGTGAGTTTCCACATCAAAGGATCAAATTTCTTAGATGTCATCTTCAAGATGCTGTTACTGCCGCCCCACACTCTGTCTATAAGCGAATTCATTTTTTTGCGTAATACTGCGTTGAAATTGTTGCTGCGTGTCTCAACAAACATGCTCGAGGCACTACAGAATCGCGGCAGCCGCAACAGCACCCTGAAGGCGTTGCTATATTGGATGCGCAGAGCATTGTAAGCCCTTTGAGTGTATCCGACACACAGACTTGACGAGTACAGCGAAGTGCAGAATGCCTTAAATACCGTTACTTTAACTGTAACTGTACATCGTGCAAATCTGCGGACAAGCATGTTCACCCGGACTGACAACGCTCTGAGCCCCCTCTCTATTCGAATCTATTGAACTGGTGCACTCTTCTAAGGGAAACACCATTAAATACAGTAGGTGGAAAAAAGAAAGGACATTTGGTTCCCGCCCTAAAGATCATGTACTCAATTTTTTTGACATTATAAATTAACCCGTGAGATACCGCTAATGACTCGCATACAGCGAGCAGCTGTCGTAAAGCAGTGACTGATGGTGCCAACAGCACCATGTCATCCGCATAACTGATGCAGTTGACACATACACCAGCAACACGCATGTCACTGAGTCCCTCAATCAGCTCATTAATATACAGATTTAAAAGCAGAGGAGAGCTCAACCCCCCCTTGTCTCACTCCGCGTTCCAACCTGTATGGAGCCGAATACTCCCCGCCCACTTCACTCGATTCTCCTGATTTAAGTACCGATACCTGAATAACGAAATTAGCTCCGGTGGTAATCCCGTATTTTCCAGCTTTTTCCAAAAGATGTGGTAACATACCGTGTCAAAAGCCTTAGTGAAGTCCATGGCTATTAGCTTCATTTAAAATGTTTTAGGTAGTATATCGTACATTTCTAAAGTCTTAAGCTGTTAAATAAATTTTACTACAGCATTCTCTGCTGTAGATGTAGCGTACATCTACAGCAGAGAAATGTATTTCTAAAGTAGCGCTTACGCCGTTATATTTGAGAATTCTACAACAACTTTACGGCAGGTACTTAGCTTGATAAGGTGAGACAAACGCGCCTTAAACAGCCAAAAGTTATAAATTAAATATATATTAAATATAATTAAATATAAATTAAAATTCGTTCCGTATTATACGGAGTGGTTTAGCCATACAATAGAATATCAATACTCTGCTTTACAACCTTGAGATTTTAAGAGAAGATACTAAATGCTGGTGTACTTCTAAAAACGTACAATAGCGCGTCAATAACACAATTGTAAAACCGAAAGGTCTATAACGGTGATACTAGCGGCTTAAATCGGTAGAACGGTGTTAGTAAATTCTGAAGGCTGTTGTAACCGAGACGCCATTACAGTTTTGAAAAAAGCATTCTTTTTGTTATTTTTTAATATGTTAAATATGCATAAAAATTTAAACAAAATTAAAACTTCACACACTTTAATAAAATGTACTCTTTATACAAAAAAACTGCATATCTAGAAGACGCGTAAAAATTTTAGCTAAAATATATGTACATATTTACAATAAACTGGTGCTCGCACTTTTATTTTGCTTCCATTTTAAAAGGAAAACTTATTTTATCAAATTGTTGTAATTTTTTATTTGCAATCCATCCCTTTGAGACCTTTGAAAGACCTTGCTAACTGGCAAGGTCTTTATGAACAATAAAATATGTTTTATTTTCCCAAAATATCTCTGCCGTATATGTAGTGCAGCGCCGTGAACTCTAATTCAGAGATACATTCGAGTCTAAATAGGATGCGAGCGCTATAGTCGCGCTACAAGAACTTATTTTAGATACTTAAGCGCACACTATCCGCTCGCATAGCTTTTGTATTACTTGGACGCATATTAACTGCGCGCATAGCACATTTACATCTTCGTACTAACATAGATTTACGACCATTGTAGCCCATAGCGTATAAATCGGTGCCCATTTTGGGGGTACAGCGGCGCTGTAGCCGCTTATACGTCTACTGTAGACCTTGTTAATGCAGCCTATGCCATTATTAAGAACTTCTTATTGGCTATTGTACGGCATGTTATTACAGCTTGTAGGCTATAGTTGGGAATTACCTATGTTCCAATGAGTAGATAAGCAAATGTCATTTTTACTTCCTTTGGTATATTAATAGCTTCGTTTCCGAGTTCAGTTGCTATAGGAAGACGTCCAACAGTGTAAAATGCACTAATCTGTAAAAATGAAAACAATATTTTGGTGACCAGAAAACCTTCAAACAACATATCTTTACGTGACATAATTATCTTATTATTATTTTGGTTATCTATTGTAAACCTTCACCTCTCCCATGATCTAAAAGATATATACTTATTTTGAATTTTTTAATGGCGGAGGCGATATTCCGTAGCAATGGCACAGCCGGCCGGGGTCAGAGACTTTAGTCCGGCACACCGAGCGGTACCGCATTCTGCATTAATGCTGGAAGAGACACGCCACAGAAATGCAACCGCCTCGAGTGGTTGGCGACACTGGCTGGAATTAACATGTTTACGGACAAAACAATTGGCATCATCAGAATGGAGGCAACACCCCACGTGTCGGTGCCCTCCTGCTATCGAGATACTTTCGAAGTTTTTCGGTTTATTATTAAACATGTAATAAAATTGTAGCGAGAAAAATTTCCCGCGACACAGGGTTTCCCTAGTGCGGGGCTACGTTGAGTGTGTGCGTTAACAAAAAAAAGAAAAATGTTGTTGTCTACACAAGCGTTAATAATTGTATAAATTTTAAATATTTATTGCAATTCGTTTTTACCTATATGAAATTTGTGTCGAGTACATACGTACGTATTTGTAGTATTTTTATATGTTAGTCCAATAAATTTACTATTTATATATAATCTTGTTTTAATGTTATTGTAAATAAAATTAATTGCATTATCGTCCACAAGTATTGAAGTATAATGAATGCGTCATCTCTTATTCTCCCCGTTCGAGACTTAATTTGGTAGATCCCCCGATTCTTCATTTCACAATATTTCATCATTCACAGATAACAACGTATTGTACCTAGTTAGTTATTGTATTGAAATAATGAAAGCTTTGCGGCACATTGGAAATTACAATGACAACGCAGAACAGTCGGTAACGTGAGTACGTATGTAAGATAGGATATGCTAATGAACAACAGGCGACCTTATTGCTAAGCCGCAATTTCTCTGAGGCAAAACCTTAATTTTATTGTACAATGTGAACTTACATAAGTCCCAGTGCTACTCGGGTCTCCTTAAGAAGACAGTATACAAAGCGTGACCAATGTTCTCCATATATGACCGACGTGAATTGAAGAAATTATTCATTTTTACACAAAATATGCAACGAATAGTTTCTACGCAGGTGATGTATTTCTAATTATAAACATTTACATTATAACAAACAACGACGTACTCGATGTACTGTTATTTTTTCAGCGAATGGAAAGCTTTTTATAATTTTTTAAACCCAAATTTGCTCTTGTCGTCCACAGTGACGTTAAGAATTGATGCGATTTTTTATTTTTGCATTAATCCAAACAATTTCAAACGTGGAACGTGCCTTCGACATCGAATCTGAACATCCACATCCACGAAGCATTATTTAAGCTAACAACAGAGTGATTGTATTGTGTATTTTGTTATGTTCATAGACTTACGGTAATCTATGGTCGGGACTTACCCACGGTTCTTGGCAACAAATCTGTGCATCTGCCACAATCTCTTATTCAATGACGCAAGGGTCAATGTAGCGTGTTTTGTAGATATTTGGAAATATATACAATTTAGAGGGCATTTTATGTGAGGCACATACCTATTAAAATCAATTCTTAGGGTTGAATTCCAGAACTGTACTCGATGCTCAAGTCAGGATTTGAGCAGACTTGAGTATGATTTCCAGCACTGGAAATACGACCCTAATGGCAAGGACTTGAGTATGATTTCTAGTGCTTTAAATCATACTCAAATCCTGACTTGAGCATTGAGTACAGTTGTGGAATACGACCCTATGAGTGAAATACTTGAGATGTAGATGATGCTATAGATACATACTTATGCGATTTGTCCATCTAATAACAATTATGTTTACTGTGATGTTCCTTTGTTTGGTATTATGAAGATAAATAAAGATATGTCTATTTAGGTAGGTACTTACTTTATCTAACTTTATATTTATGTTAACCTACCTAATTATTTACTGTAGGTACGTGACTGAATACTATACGGAAAATGAAAAAAAAAATACAGGAAACAACGATTTAAAAATCATACAGTTGATATAATATAGGTATCTGTTTCATCTACAAGCTCTCGCTAAACTATTTCGATAAGTGAATTCAATTGCAAATAGATTCAATTCGAT